GGTACTCGCAGGAGGAGTGCTCGCCTTCGGGCGAAACAGGGAGGTGAGTCACCGGGGGATCAGGACCGGCCGTTACCCCGACAAAGATAAAAGGCTGTCGGACCCCGCCCCAGGTTGAGGGAGCAACATTGCTGTATGTCAGATCCTGCCTGAGATCCTATACCTGTCCTTGCCTAGTTTCCTGCCTTAGCCCTGTCAGACTGATTCCTAGCAGAACCTTTGAATTCTGGAGCGATCCTGGACCATGGTTCATGGATTACGCCTGGGCCCAGCACACTGTTCTCACAGTGATCAACCAGATGCCCCAATGGCAAGCCCGCAAGCAGGATTCAGTCCTTTCTCCTCCTGTGGCTTCCAGCACCCGAGTCTGGTCTGCTTTGTTTAGTTGTTGTTTAGTCGTCTTAGTCGTGTTCGACTCTTCGTGACCCCATGAACCAGAGCATGCCTTGGAAACTCACTTTCCTCTCAAAGCTTCTCCTTTTTTATGTCCTTGAGGTTTTCTTGGCAAAATACTGGAGTGGTTTGCCAGTTCCTTCTCCAGGTGGGTCACATTTAGTCTAAACTCTTGGCTATGACCTGTCCGTCTTGGGTGGCCCTGCACAGTATAACTCACAGCTTCTTGGAGTAATTCAAGCCCCTTCGCCACGACAAGGCAATGATCCATGAAGGTCTGCTTTACACCAGCTTAACTCAAGCCAAGGGAGCTTCAACTGACTTCCCATCCTGAGGATTGCTCTCTAGGTTTGTTGTTGTTGTTGTTGTTGTTGTTGTTGTTTAGTCGTTTAGTCGTGTCCGACTCTTCGTGACCCCATGGACCAGAGCACTCCAGGCACTCCTGTCTTCCACTGCCTCCCGCAGTTTGGTCAAACTCATGCTGGTAGCTTCGAGAACACTGTCCCACCATCTCGTCCTCTGTCGTTCCCTTCTCCTTGTGCCCTCCATCTTTCCCAACATCAGGGTCTTTTCCAGGGAGTCTTCTCTTCTCATGAAGTGGCCAAAGTATTGGAGCCTCAGCTTCAGGATCTGTCCTTCCAGTGAGCACTCAGGGCTGATTTCCTTCAGAATGGAGAGGTTTGGTCTTCTTGCAGTCCAGGGGACTCTCAAGAGTCTCCTCCAGCACCAGAATTCAAAAGCATCCATTCTTCGGCGATCGGCCTTCTTTATGGTCCAGCTCTCACTTCCATACATCACGACTGGGGAAACCATAGCTTTAACTATATGAACTTTTGTTGGCAAGGTGATGTCTCTGGCATTACTAACTGAAGTCCATTGATTCCAATAAGTCTGCTCTGAGTAAAGACTCAGCCAGGTACAACTCAATGGATAGAAGGAATGTTGAAGTAAAGTCCAAGCACCTGGCTAAGCAAAACTCTGCGCAAGGTTTCTATCCTTTTCTTCCTCTTTGGCGATCCCTCGTAGCCAAGTAAGATTGTCTTCCATAAACACGGTTTTAACAGTGAGTAAGTGACTGTGAAGGCCAATTCTGGATCCACACGTCCTTCCATAGTGGGTACATTGGCTTCCGGGTGGGAGCTGATCATGGTGTGGATTTGCCAAGCATGCCTTCCTCTTAGCACGTTTCTCCCTTGCGTCCTGAGTTCGAGTGTCTTCAAAGCCCATGACACCTTTGGGAAAGACTGTTCTCCAACTGGAGCACTCGCTGGCAAATGTTTCCCAGTTGTCGGTGTTTATACTACATTTTATTAGATTTGCCTTGAGACAGTCTTTAAACCTCTTTTGTTGACCACCAGCATTACGTTTCCATTTTTAAGTTTGGAATAGAGCAGTTGCTTTGGAAGACGATCATCAGGCATCTGCACAACATGACCAGTCCAACGAAGTTGATGTTGAAGAATCATTGCTTTGACACTGGTGATCTTTGCTTCTTCCAGGACACTGGCATTAGTTCGCCTGTCTTCCCAAGTGATGTTTAAAAATTTTCGAAGACACCTTTGATGGAATCTTTCGAGGAGTTAGAGATGGTGTTTCTATCCAATGTCTATCTTGCACCACTAAATCTCCTACCACAGCATAGTACAGACAGCCACAATGTTAGATAAAACAAATTGCAGTAATACAATAAGATTGGAAATTGAACTAGACAATGCAAGTCTAATTTGCTTTATAAGGACCACAGATATCACATTATGGCAGCGAAGTGCTATAATTGTCCAAACAATGTGGGTTACCCCCAGCTGCTCCTCCTCTATGAAACAGCAAATGGATCCTGATCCCATGACAACCACTCAGGGAAGATTTGCTCAATTGCTAGCTCATCTCTGAGAATTAATAAACCTTTCTTTCAAATGCAATCTCCTGCTATCATTTCCCAGATTACCCTTTTCTAGGTGAAATTTATACATGCAAATGGATCATTTTTGGAAAAGGCATGGGGTGTGTGTGTGGAGGAGCACTTTTAAAAGAGCTTCTCATGAAATCTCTCCCTATTTTTATACGTGGATGTTCTTGCACCTCCTCACACCCATCCCAATTCCCTTCATTTTGCATATGGTGGAACCAGAATGGCAGCCTTCACCTCTAAATAGCGAGTTGTTGTTGTTGTTGTTTAGTCATTTAGTCGTGTCCGCCTCTTTGTGACCCCCTGGACCAGAGCACCCCAGGCACTCCTGTCTTCCACTGCCTCCCGCAGTTTGGTCAAACTCATGCTCTTATCTTTAAGAGCACTATCCAACCATCTCATCCTCTGTCGTCCCCTTCTCCTTGTGCCCTCCATCTTTCCCAACATCAGGGTCTTTTCCAAGGAGTCTTCTCTTCTCATGAGGTGGCCAAAGTCTTGGAGCCTCAACTTCAGGATCTGTCCTTCCAGTGAGCACTCAGGGCTGATTTCCTTCAGAATGGACAGGTTTGATCTTCTTGCAGTCCATGGGACTCTCAAGAGTCTCCTCCAGCACCAGAATTCAAAAGCATCCATTCTTCGGCAGTCAGCCTTCTTTATGGTCCAGCTCTCACTTCCATACATCACTACTGGGAAAACAATAGCTTTAACTATACGGACCTTTGTTGGCAAGGTGATGTCTCTGCTTTTTAAGACGCTGTCTAGGTTTGCCATCGCCTTTCTCCCAAGGAGCAGGCGTCTTTTAATTTCGTGACTGCTGTCACCATCTGCAGTGATCATGGAGCCCAAGAAAGTAAAATCTCTCACTGCCTCCATTTCTTCCCCTTCTATTTGCCAGGAGGGGTCCAGCATTAATGAAGTGCTATTTATGTAATTACGATATCCATTGTTTCTTGTATTACTATAATACCACTGTTTCTTGGTGGAATTCAGTATGTACATCAGGGGAAAATGTACGTAGAAATACAAACATTTGTGAAAATAACACACAAAATTGCATCGCAGTATTGGAAATTGGTTTTAAAAATTGTGCATATTAGGGAAAGTCACATACAAAAAATGTATATAAGGGGAAGAATCTGCAGTAAAATACTGGTGAGTTTTGTGTGAGATTTTGTGGGCAAATCACAAATTAATGTGGAGAACTAAACTTATGGTTGCAAAGAAGGAGGAACAGCCTAACACAGTGGCTAAATGATGTCTATTTTTAACTTTTTTGGTATTTGTTGCATGGTGTTATGTTTTCATTAAACCATATATGACACAGCAGTATACAGTGGTACCTCGGGTTAAGTACTTAATTTGTTCCAGAGGTCCGTTCTTAACCTGAAACTGTTCTTAACCTGAAGCACCACTTTAGCTAATGGGGCCTCCAGCTGCCGCCGCGCGATTTCTTTTCTCATCCTGAAGCAAAGTTCTTCTGGGTTAGCGGAGTCTGTAACCTGAAGCGTCTGTAACCCAAGGTTCCACTGTACACATATTTTTAAAATAAATACACCCTATTTTTTAAATAAATAGATAAATGAGCAGAGATAAAATGTGACACACACACACATATATATATATATATATATATATATATATAGTGGCAGTAATGTAAAGACGGACATTGCCCCCCCTCAAGGCACCTTCATGTCTCCAGATTTCCTCCAGAGCTATCTATAATAACCTGGGAATCCAGAAGAGATCGAGGCACAGTCTGGTGCTGTCCACATCTCAGGAGCTTCCCAGCATTACTGCTCCTCCATGAAGGACTCCCAACCATTTTGTCTCCCCATTGCTTCCAGCCTTGCTTCTCCTCTCCTTCATTTCCCCTCTTCTGAAGCACCTCAACTTGTCCAAATGCCAAGGGAGCGATGCCAGAACCCCACCCAGGCTGGAGGTGAAAACAGGAGCAGGATGAACTGGTCCGTCTCCCAGAAGAAATGAGAACTGACCAAGACTTCATCTGAAGAGAGGATCTGAGTTGACCTCCTGGAGCTGTCCTTGGAGCGCCCAAGGTACTCGGCTGTGTTTGAAAGGCGTGGCTTCCCATTGGGAGGTTAAACAAGGATTGCTCAGGGAGACTCTTGAGACTGCAAGAAGATCAAACCATTCTTAAGGAAATCAGCCCTGAGTGCTCACCGGAAGGATAGATCATGAAGCTGAGGCTCCAAGACTTTGGCCAATTCATGAGAAGAGAAGACTCCCTGGAAAAGACCCTGATGTTGGGAAAGATGGAGGGCACAAGGAGAAGGGGACGACAGAGGGTGAGATGGCTGGACAGTGTTCTTGAAGCTACCAGCATGAGTTTGACCAAACTACGGGAGGCAGTGGAAGACAGGAGGGCCTGGCGTGCTCTGGTCCAGGGGGTCACGAAGAGGCGGACACGACTAAACAACTGAACAACAACAACAGGGGAGACCTGTCATGTGGTGTTTGTTGCCCTCATCTCTCCAGACGGCAACATGGCTGTCCTCCTTCAGCTTCCACCCAAGCACCAATGTCAACGCTGAGATAGATGTGTGGGATACCCTATCCATGGAGAGGTTGAGTGTCCTCTTGCACAATTCATTTTCTTTTTGCTCAGAGAGATTCTCAAGTGCTTCAGCCACGACACACCAACCCTGTGCTGTGCATCTCAAACGCCCGAGATTTGGGGAGGGCCATAGCTCAGTGGCAGAACATCTGCCTGGAATGCAGAAGGTTCCAGGTTTGATCTCCCATGGCATTTACAGGCAGACTCCCGCTTTGTAATCCTGGAGAGCGGCTGTCAATCAATGTGGACCATACTGAACCAGGTGGACGAACAGTCTGGCCGCATTCACACCATAGATTTAAAACACTGCCAAACCACCCCAAAAGGCCATGACTGCCCCCAAAGTTGCCACCTTCCATTGCCTGTGAAGAAGCTCCATTCATCATGACCTCACCAGAACAGCTACACTTTCTAGGAATCGCTGAACTGCCCCAGTCTCTCAGGTGCCGTGAGCAACAACCAGGGGCAAAGACTCCCCTGATCCCATGGCTGCGTAACACTTTTGTTTCCTTCCTAATTGTTATTAAATTTTCTGTTTTACATTTTAGAATATTCATTTAAACAACCTTAAAATATCAGTAACTTCCCTTTCTTGGTAAAGACTTGACGTTTTCATCCCCAAACATTTTTTATTTGAGTTTCCACTGATATGAGGCTGCATTTTATTGTTGTATTTTAATCTTGTTTTTAAGATGTATTTTAAACAATTGTTTTTATACCTGGTGTTAGTCGCCCTGAGCCCGGTCTCGGCTGGGGAGGGCCAGCATGACGAAGCCGCTTCTGGCGAACCAGAGCAGCGCATGGAAACGCCATTTACCTTCCCACTGGAGCGGTACCTATTTATCTACTTGCACTTTGATGTGCTTTCAAACTTCTAGGTTGGCAGGAGCTAGGACTGAGCAACGGGAGCTCACCCTGAAATGGGGATTTGAACCACCGACCTGATCGGCAAGTCCTAGGCTCTGTGGTTTAACCCACAGCGCCACCCGCGTCCCTTAAACAAAACATTAAAAACATGATAAAACATCAAACATTAAAAACTTCCCTAAACAGGGATGCCTTCAGATGTCTTCTAAATGTCAGGTAGTTGTTTATCTCTTTGACATCTGATGGGAGGGCGTTCCACAGGGCAGGCGCCACCACCGAGAAGGCCCTCTGCCTGGTTCCCTGTAATTGGCTTCTCGCAATGAGGGAACCGCCAGAAGGCCCTCGGAGCTGGACCTCAGTGTCTGGGCTGAACGATGGGAGTGGAGATGCTCCTTCAGGTCTACTGGACCGAGGCTGTTTAGGGCTTTAAAGGCCAGCACCAACACTCTGAATTGCCATCTCCTCCTCCATGAATCTGTCTAATCCTCTCATAAAGCCATCTAGGATGGCAGCCATAATTGCCTCTTGTGGGAAAGAGCTCCACAATTTAACCATGTGCGGCATAGTTTCTTTCTTTCAAAGCCAACTCTACTTCATAGCCATCATGTCTCCATTATATTGACATGGTTCTCATGCTCTCCATGCGAGTTGCACCCCAATCCAACCCCTTCCGGGCATTTCTGCCCTTCTGGCGACCATGAAGCATATTTGTGGTGTCTTAGTTGTGGGCACAGACCTTTCCCCATCAACGCCCAGGTGTTGTGGCCTAGATAGAGTTATTAAATGCAATAATCCCACTGGAACAAGCGAGCCAGTGACTCGAGAGCACGTGCAGCTCTCTGGGCATTTAATTTTGGTTGGGTTGAGAAACAGATTTAGCAACAGAGAGCTGGCAACCCTGGACCTTCTCTAAATAAATACACCATAGGCAGCAGGCCTGGCCTCCACCCACAGCACCCTGTCTGCCAGCGTGCCTTGATCTCATTTCTTTGAAGATTTGGAATCAGCAAGCCAACGTGACCCGGGGAAGGCACCATGCCATATACCGTATTTTTCGCTCTATAAGATGCACCAGACCACAAGACGCACCTAGTTTTTGGAGGAGGAAAACAAGAAAAAAAATATTCTGAATCTCAGAAGCCAGAACAGCAAGAGGGATTGCTGCGCAGCGAAAGCAGTGATCCCTCTTCCTGTTCTGGCTTCTGGGATAGCTACGCAGCCTGCATCCGCTCCATAAGATGCACACACATTTCCCCTTACTTTTTAGGAGGGGAAAAGTGAGTCTTATAGAGCAAAAAATACGGTATTCTCCAAAGAGATGGTTGTGTCTTTGGGGGGAGTGGCAAATGGGATGGTTTCAGTTGGTGCAAGTTGTGCGAGGAGTGTTACATTGGAAGATTCATGACAGATAAGGTAAAGCCCTTCTCCACGCATCACATAATTAAACCATGGAACTCCCTCCCACAGGAGGCAGTGAGTGAGGGTCACCAACTGGGATGGCTTTAAAATAAGATTAGACAAATTCATGGAAGAGGAGAGCGCTAGTTGCTGGAAACCATAGGAGGGGAGAGTCGACTCTTGTACTCAAATGCTGCTTGCGTGGTTCCCACGAGCATCTCATTGGCCACTGTGGGAATAAGATGCTGCACTAGATAGAGCACTGGTCTAATCCAGCAAGCTCTTCTTATGTTCTTATGTGAGGAAGGGTGATGATGCCTTGGATCTGAGCACATTGCATGAAGGAAATAGCCGAGTATCAATGTCATATCCTAAGTAATGGGGGGGAACTTCACATTTTACAAAAACTACAGTGGTACCTCGGGTTACAGACACTTCAGCTTACATACGCTTCAGGTTACAGACCCCGCTAACCCAGAAATATTGCTTCAGGTTAAGAACTTTGCTTCAGGATGAGAACAGAAATCGTGTTCTGGCGGCGTGGCGGCAGCGGGAAGCCCCATTAGCTAAAATGGTGCTTCAGGTTAAGAACAGTTTCAGATTAAGAACGGACCTCTGGAACGAATTAAGTACTTAACTTGAGGTACCACTGTATAGGGTTTTTGTCATGGTAGTGTTTTCAATTTATTGTTATGAGTTTGGAGAAGTATCAGTCTGGATGATGCCCCGAATCCAGTGCCAGATTTACATATAAAATAAACAATCTATATTGTAGTTTAGGGTCCCACTCTCTTGGGGGCCCCCAAAAAATTTAAAGGAAAAAAAACCTGGATGTACATTTCCGAAATATAAGATAAAAAACAAATAAAACAAAACCTACATACAGCAGCAGTGTTTTGTCTTGTGTGGGCTCCTATGATGTAATTACGTCCATAAATTACCATGCAGCATATATTCAACACAAAAGAACAGTGACAGTTTGTTGTTGACAAAGGACAGCTGGACATATTCAGTAGCTTAGGGCCTCAACAAACCTAAATCCGGCCCTGCCTTCATCCCTTCCAGTTCCTGGGGTTCTGTGTCTGGAGGGGTGGTAGAATGTATGGGAGCAAGCTTGCCAAACCAGTCATTTTGTCTAGGTGATGGTTTTGGCTGATTGGTTAAGTACCACAATTGGCGTAACCAACAAAGCTGCTCTGTGCCATAGGACAAATGGGTGGGGGGCTTCCCTTCTTACCTAGATACTAGGTAGGACAGGCACGTCCGGTCAGTTTAATCCTGGGGCAGTTTATCTCCTGAGGTAAAATCCCCCCAAAAGCCCAACAACTTCTGGTGGGAATGTAAGAAAGTAAAAAACTTCTGGGAAATGATATATAATGAAATGAAAAAGATGTTGAAATATACATTTTTTAAAAAACCAGAAGCATTTTTACTTGGTATTATAACTGAAGATATTAATAGGCAAGATGTTAAATTGTTTTTATATGCAACAACAGCAGCAAGAGTATTGTTAGCCAGAAATGGAAGCAAGAAGAAATTCCGACGAAAGAAGAATGGCAGACAAAATTAATGGACTACACAGAATTAGATAAAATAACAGGAAGGATTTGAAACCTGTGGGACCAGAGATTCACAGAAGATTGGAAGAAATATACGAACTATTTGAAGAGCAACTGTAATCAACAAATTACGCTAGTAGGACTACAAGAAGTTTTGTAAGGAGAAATATATGAAATATTGCAAAGTAGAGAAAGAATAGAGATATTAGTTATGAGATTTAAATGTAATAGTCAAAGTAAGAAATGTATATTAAGTGAATAGATTGGAAATTTTTCAGATGTGATTGATGGAAGTCAAAAAAATGGTATAAGATATGAAAGTATGTTTAATTATTGTTGAAAATGATATGTTGAAAAACTAATAAAAATTTATTATTATTATTATTATTAAAAAAGAAAAAGCCCAGCAACTTCACAACTCAGCCTGGACACTGAGATCCAGCACCGAGGGCCTTCTGGCGGTTCCCTCATTGCGAGAAGTGAGGTTACAGGGAACCATACAGAGGGCCTTCTTGGTAGAGGCACCCGCCCTGTGGAATGCCCTCCCTTCAGATGTGAAGGAAATAAGCAGCTATCTTCTTTTTAAAAGGCATCTGAAGGCAGCCCTGTTCGGGGAAGTTTTTAATATTTAACACTGTATTGTTTTTAACACTCGATTGGAAGCCGCCAGATGGGTGGGGTATAAATAAATTATTATTATTATTATTATTATTATTATTATTATTATTATTATTCAATCCTAAAAAAAGAGCTCAACAACTTTGGGGTAAAATCCCCAAAAAAGCTCAACAACCTCAATCCTAAAAAAGCTCAATAATTTTGGTCGGCCCTCACGCACGTTCACTTCATCAAATCTGGCCCTCTTTGGAAAAAGTTTGGGCACCTCGGAGGTAGGAGAACCATAGACAGAGAAGGTTTGTGAGCTGAGCTGGAACAGGCTGGAAGCTGGATCCACAGAGACCTGCTTGCTCTGTGCTGGATCCAAAGGTGCGACTAATGGATTTGCAAGATCTGTTGGGGTGTCGATGCTCTGAGCTCCCCCACCTTATGCTCAGGTTGTACATGTGTGTAAGTAAAACCATGTGTCCTAAAAATTCCACTGTCTCCACTGACCTCCATTCTCTGGAAACAGAACCCTGGGGAAATTCTGGAATCTCTCACCACTCAGAGAATGGGGTGGCTTGTAAGATTATTTTTTAATTTTATCGTATCATGGGTACCGCCTTTGATCATCTGCACTCATAGTTGGCTCCACATAAGAGAAGCATCTCTTTCTCACCTTAAACAAAATGCAAATTGCTCATTTTAATTATCCATCGTCCCCTGGCTCTCTTCTTATTCCTGAGATTAAACCACAAAGCATGCACTGTTCCTCTCC